CAAAGAAAAGGACTAGAATTAGCTGAAAGGGAGCCACTCCCGTCATTGACACAAGTTCCATTCACCAGCCAATTTGTTGTTCACTGTGATCTTCTTCAGAATGTTTCTAAGGATACAACACCAATTTACGAACAAAAGGCTATAACCCTAGAAACCATCGGAAAACGATTTCTAGAGACAGAATGGAGAGAGACCATGTATATACAGATGGTTCTGCACTGGAAGCACGCAAACATGCCGGAGCTGGAGTTTATTCAAAGGAGTTTCAACTTGCCGCCCCGGTCGGAAAGGTAGCCACAAACTTTGAAGGGGAAGTGAAAGCCATTCTCTTAGGCCTTGAGATGTTAACTGAACGGAAAGACAAGAAAGTTTCTTTCTTTGTTGACTCACAGGCAGCCATTTTGTCCCTAAAAATGGATATAGTATAAATCCAAATGTTCCTAAATGCCATCAATATTTGAACCGATTAAAGGAAAATAGGACAGAAGTCGCTTTCCAGTGGATACCAGGCCATTGCGGGCTCCACGGAAATGATGAAGCTGATAAACTGGCCAGAATAGGTTCTGGAATGATCCAACCCGATATTCCTCTGACCATGGATTCAACAAAAAGAATCATAAAGCAGACCTTCCAAAGTTCACTGAAAGAGAAATATGTACAAACAATTGAAGGGAAACGATGGAGTGGATTGCTGGAAGAATGTGGCAGGATTCCTAGAGACCTCCCTAGAGGGCAAGCCGTGGCATGCTTTAGAATGCTGACAGGCCACGATTTCCTTCAGAAGCACCTCCACCGCATCGGTGTAAAAGATAGCCCGACTAGGACATAATGTTCCTTAGACATAATGACAGGAGAACATCTTGATACATGCCCTGCATTACAGGACATAAGATTTTGCTTTAATGAAATGGACAGCTTTTATGCTCGGAGAGCAAAATTGTATTGGACTGCAAGAGCACGCATGTCTAACGAAGCAGGCGTTACTAAGGCGTAGGAAAAAAAAAAAATTCATGATATAAGTTAAATTATATTTATGATTCAATTAGATTATATTTTAATGTAATTTAATTTGATGTTAGAAGTCTAAATTAAATGTAATCTTTAGGGTTCATTTGTGAAGTGGTTGTGGTTCATTCCACAATTCTATTAATCCACTACTATTCCACAACCTGTTCTCCTTAAGTTCTAGAAATCACTTATATATCTTCTTTTTTTTACTTCTCCTGATCACTTCAGTCATCGAAATGCAAAGGCATTTTGTTTAAGCGGTGAATTACGAGAGCCAACTGAATGGGACCTCTTAGTTGACATTATTTGGTGGTAATATCGTATAAATATATATAAAAATAAAATAAAATAAAACTTAAGTCTGCGTGTTCTAACTTTTGATGAACCGCCGACCGTTATCCAGTCAGGTACGTGGCTGTGCCCCAACGGACCCTTAGTGAGACGTCAGCAGATAAGGCGATATAGAGATAACGCCTATAGACTCTAATTCACTTCCTTTACTGTCTGTAATAATACATAGTAAATCACAGAACATCAACCCCCGTATGCCAGAAATGGTGGGTAGAGGGTTATCCTATAAAAAAAAATAAGTACACAGTAAATATCAACACTGCTCACTTTGGCGTTAGTCCATTGTTGTTGCTGTTGTTTTAACGTCAGCCTAACTAGTTTTTAAGTAAAACTGAGCTCTTATTCTACTAGAAAATAGTGGAACACGACGCGAAATGTGGGAATTCAAATCAAGCGCATGCGCAGAACTCGGTTGACATGTAACATCTTAAAAGAGCGAAAAACTTTACTTATAAAAGGGAATAGTACTTATTGACGCTAGTGAAAAAGTATTCCCGAATTCTGGGATTCCGAAATGCTTGAACAGAAGCACAAATATAAATTAGCATTCCTCAGCTAGAAAATCAAGGTTGAGTTGGAATTATTTAAGCAAGAAAGTGCTATTAGTTGAAGAGAGATGGAGGCATAATTTAGGAATTGGAATATCTGTATCAAATATATATATATATATATATATATATATATATATATATATATATATATATATATATATATATATATATATATATATAGTTGATTTACTATAAAACAATTATCTTGCCTACAGTTCTTTATGGGTGCGAAACTTGGCCGCTTACATTAAGGGATGAGCAGCGTCTTAAGGTTTTTGAAAATAAAGTATTGCGTAGAATATTCGGACCGAAGAAGGATGAATTAACCGGAGAGTTCAGACGGTTACACAACGCCGAATTGCGTGAACTGTATCCGAGTAATATAATTGAGATAATTTCATCGCGGCGAATCAAATGGGCTTGTAAAGTTGTTGGACTTAGTAACGAGAGAATTCCTAAAAGGTTAATATTTGCTGTGCCGAATGGTAAGCGTCCGAGGGGTAGACCGAGGCGAAGGTGGGAAGCTTGCATTAAAGCCGATCTGTAGGGACTGGGTTTGGACGGCGAACGGTGGAGAGAGGTGTGTAATAAGCGATTGGTGGTGTCGGCATCGGACCTTCGGGTTCGCTAAGCCTTTTTATTATTTTATTATTATTATAGTTGATTTATAATTTGTGGCTTTTTCTTTCTTGTACCTTTTGAAGTAGAACTCATTAACCCGCACATGCATAGTGTTCCTCTAGAGATTAACCTACATATTTGTTAGATATTGTAAGTTGGTCCCAAACATAACGATTTCTTCTTTTTTCTTTAGCTTAACAGGCGCATATAGCAGCCCTTGGATTTTTTAACCTTCAATTTTTCTCTATCCATTATATGGAGTGGAGTACAGTATCTCTCCAGTGCCCCTTTTGTCTCCCTCTACTTCCCTTTCCATGGTGAACCCTTATAAAGTCTTAGCATCCTATTTTAGTCCAATCTTATTAAATGGCCAAACCACTTCAATCTCTGGATTTTGATGCTGGCTGAGATATTCAGGTCCTTGTATTTATTATTCAAATTCCTATTTTGTCTAAGGCACCAAACTCCATTTTCACAAATTAGTCCCAGGATGTTGATCAAACTCGTTTGTCAAGGGTTTTATTAGGATTTTGTATATCTTTTTGTATTACCACTAAGTTCAGATATTACGATATGGATTTCTTAATTTGATTCAGAAAAGTAGGTACACTTATTATATTTGTACTTGACATAGATTTGAATAAAATTGTGAAACATAGTCATGATTCTCCTGTAGGACATCATACAATAGGTTTACAGACCTGTTAGTTTTCTACATTTGATTTTATTGAATGAATTTTGTTGAAATGTAGCTAATAATTTTAAATTTTATATTTTATTTCCAACAATTTTGAGTGGATTAATTTATTTTGTTATTTTTCACATAATGTTCATTTAAGTTGTATATTAACAATGTGAGATATATTAGAAAGGCAGGCAAGTATATACCTATTCTCTGTCCACAAATTATAAAAGTAGTTCAAGTCCAATGTAAGTTTATGTCTTTTAGCACCAAATCAAAATTATTGTATATCTGAAATTAAGATATAAACCAAAGTTCGTAAACAAGTCAAAAGCAAAAGTTATAGTATGACTAATATGATAGTAATATAAACATAATATTATTTATGATTATATTATAATAAAAATTCTTACTATACATCTTCCGAGGTAATTAGAAAAACATAACATAATTTTAATTAAAAACATGAAAATAATTTTAAAAAATTTATTTGGTGCTACCAGACATAAACTTCTATAATTTGTGGACAGGGAACAGATATATTCATCTGGCTTTCAATTATATTTCTTATTTTATATTTTTACTTCAAATGCACAAGGACTTCATTTTCAAGTAAATAAGAATTCCATGGAACATTATTTGCAAAATTATATAAAAATGAATCCAATTAAAATTGTATGAAGCAAAAAATACATATTAAAAAAGATAATATAATTAAAGTTTGTAAATATTTCACCTTCAGCTTAGTCCAAGTCAGTAACAAGTGTAATGTTTTTATGTAATAAACCATGTATTACACGATATATTTAATTCATGACTGAATTTTAACTCTCATGCATGGTGTCCCTCACATTTGAAGTTTTTAAATATTATCAGAATCAAAATTCCTCATCATTTTTATTATTTTTATGTTATTATATATCTTCTAAACTATTGAAGTTTTTTTTTTAGTTTTTTTATTTTTAATGAAAATTAAGAAAATCGTCCATTTAAGGGTTAATACTAGCTTTTAAGATTGAGCTAAATGATATCTTGATCATTTGAACTAAATAATTTGTAATCGTATATTTTAAAATTGGGTTATGATAGTTGTAGGTCCAGTTGAACTTGACTTGACTGAGCCTCTTTGATGGTTCACTTTAAGCTATGCTTGAACGATGTTCAAATGATAACCTCCATTTGTACAACTGGATTTTCAGATATGAAAGTAGTTCTAGCTTGATCTTAACTTGAACTCCTATCATACAATTCGACCCTTTCTATTCTGATAACCAGAACATACAGATTACATTCTGGTGAAAATAAATTGCCTACGATCTCGTTCCCATCCAATGGTGGAATTCGTTCCCCAAACTGTTCCGCCTACTGATGAGGAGGTGTGTTAGAGGCTGGTTTGTCGATTTATTATTTGTTGTAAGTCAATAAGAAACATTTATACCAAATTAACTAAATTTTTTAAAATTTCTAATGATATCTCACGTTTAAAAAGTGGAAGAACTATTCTATGCCTTATGAACTACTGCTACCTCTTCAGAGACATTTTTATAGTACAATTCTATCTCATTAGTTATAGATTCTTTATGATATAAAAACTAATAAAATAAATAACTTGTATTTAGTTTTTCAATTTTTTTTCTGCTGTTTGATGGTAGTGAAGCTATTCATGTATTGTGAATATATTTTAAGCATAAATAATCTATTTTTTTTTTTATATCTTTGTACAAAACTTAAAAACAAAACAAAAAGTATAGTACTCTATTATATTTGTTTTCTTGCTTTTTTTTTAGCTAATCACCTTAGCTGGAATGTGGATTATACCTCTTGGATTAAGTTTGAAAAATTCCTGGTGGAGGTTTATATTTTTATGGCTTTTGTTCACTTGTATAACAGCCTTAATAGTCAAGAAAGCTGTAGAGACTCCAATTGAAAAAACTACCCCAAGGTTTGAAACATTAATATTTTATGTGTGTTTATCATTTTTGCCATTAGGATAGCTTCAATGTGATAATAGTAAATTTTTACTGAAGAAACAGAAATATGTTTCTTTCTTTTAATGTTACTTTTATAGTTAGCACATTTACTCCACTATGTGGAATTTCCAATAGGAATAAAAAAATTTATGAATGGCACATACATGATTTTTAAGAGCAAAAACGATGTTTACTCATAACTTATAATAATTTTTGTTTCAATGTGTGTCCTTTTAATTTGTAATTGGTAAAAATGGTGAGTATTTGGGTACATGCATGATAGACAGTGCTTATAGCACACTGTGGAATTGCAGGACCCCCTGTTTCCACTTGTGAACCAGGTAAATTCTATATACTAAGTAAAGGATTGCCATTTTCTATAAACTCTACCCCCTAGAAACTCTAAAACATCAAATGCTTTGTTTACTTTGAGCTAAGGTTACCAAAATGTTCCTTTGAGAAATTGGAGCTTCTATTAACACTCCAGTAGTTGCGCCTCCATATGTAGCATAAGTAGTCTAATGTCATCTATGAGGTGCCTTTTCCATTTTTTCCAGTTATACTCACAGTATTACTTTTAAATAATAAATGTATGAAAAATATTCATAAAAAATAATGAGGGAATCATGTTTAATATAAAATATTGAACACAGAGGTCAATACACGTATTTTATAGACATTTTTTTTTTTATTTATACATCTAGTAAATTTGGACATAATAGATAAAATGACATGACACTTGCTGAATAACTACCCAATGGTAGTAGCATTATAATGATATGACTACATTAGGAGATCACGGGACCATCTTTTTTTCAGACGCCTCGGAGGGTTATCAGGAATTGAAGTGGAAGCAAGGTTAGAAACGAGACGGTTGGGATGATTCTGAAGTTTGTTATGGAATGATAGGTATCTGGATTGGGCCAGATCTGAAACATAAGGAACATTAAGATCTTTATGGATAATTTTATTAGTGACAAAGTAAGGAGCATTGAGGATTTTACGAAGGATTTTGGATTGTAAGGATTGGATGCAGAGGAATTCGATAGTTTAGTGGAGCCCCATAGCTCAACTCCGTAAGTCCAAATAGGTCTTATTATAGCCAAGTATATGAGTCTTTTGTAATTAATGGGAAGTTTAGAGCGTTTGTCTAGTAAGTGCTGAAATAATCGGAAACGTCGAGCGGTTTCTTGTCGTTTCAGTCTAGTATGAGGATTCCAAGTTAGTCGCTTGTCCAGGTGGAGTCCTAGGTATCTAATTTGCTCAACAGGGATAAGTGGAGTATTGTTAAAGGAAACTGTAGGACAGGCAGTCGTTGGTTTATGACGATAGAAAAATAAAAGGGGTAAAATAATTCTGGAAAAAAAAATTCCTAATAACTATCTCAAAATAGCAAAACAAAGCTAATTTCACTCCTTGCCTAATTAAGTTGTAACTCTTACACTGTTTGGCACTTTCTCTAATCCAATAGTCTTCAAATAAGTGGTATATTTCTTTAAGTTTCCTCAAACGGGAGCTCCAGCGAGTAGGTGCATCATTTGGGATTTCCATCTTTGGTTGGTCATTTTCGACTAATCTCTTAAAAGTATTTCCCGCCTGCAATTAACTTCTGAATTGAAGGAATGCTGGAGAAAACTTAGTAGTATCCTGTCGAACAGAATTAAGGGTGAATCGAAATTCCCCAATAAACTTATCCCATTGGTTGTGTTTATCGTTAAGGTAGGTTACAATTAATTGTTTAATATTCGTAGTTGATCTTTCCACAGGATTTGCCTGAGAGTGATAGAATGGTGTTCAAAGCATTTTAAAGTCACAAACCTTAGCCAATTATTGCACTAAAAGTACTGACGAAATTAGTTCCATTATTACACGGTGGGCCAGACCCCCTTACCGTGCACCCCCTCCCCCCCCCCACATCTCCCTATAACTAATATAAGATTCCTTAATAAATCTTTTGCAAATGCACTAAACAGAAGGAGAGCTATGAGCTATAACTTTCTCGATATACGTCTCTTTATCCTGCTTCAAAGTGAAAATAGTCCCTATGTGCACCTTCAGCAATAGAAAATACAGTGGTTTTCACCATAATAAACCTACATCGTCCACTTAATATCATCCAAACTGCAATTGACCCCCTTTTAGCAGCATCTTGAAATATTCTGTTCATCTGTCAACTATACATTCATTTTGCTATGTAATGGATGCTGGTCCTTTTTATCTTTTCCGAGGTTTTGCCACTTTCTTTCTCGTTCGCTTAATGTATTTTTCCAATTTTCTGGTTCAATTTCGCGTTTTTCCTCATTTTGAGACCAAAAACAAAAAATCAGTTCAGGTTTATAGAACAACTTATAGCGTCGCCCTTTCTATCTTTCTTTGTTCATAGAGAATAATTCATTCAATATTAAAATTTCCTATTTATTTATGATATAGTCCAACTTCCGCACAAAATAAAGGAAATAAAAATTATTTTTTTAATTAGTGATATATGAGTTTTACTAAACAACCCGGTAGCTATTAATTATATATAGTTCAGATTAGGTATATATTATTTTAGTTTATAAAACAGGTATTAATATGACTCATTTCCTGGGAAGTATATAAAAATTTTAATTACCTCTAAGAATCAGTAAATATACAAAACAGTGTTAAATTGCAAACGTTAAATAAAAAAAAAAAATAAAAATATTTAGCAAAATATTTTTTAATTAAGTTTTATTATTATAATTATATCACTTTTACAATTAAGGTCTTCTTAAACGACCTACGTATAGAATAAAGGAGGTTAAATTAAAACAAAATAATAATAATTTTTTTTAATTTTAATTTTTTTTACAATTAAATTATTGCATTAATATTTGTTCTTTAATAAAACCGATATAATGTACCAAAAATGTTTTGTAACTTGAAAAAATGTTTGTTAAAAAAATTGACTTTACTGGTGTTTTTCATAGCCTAAGCCAATTATTTTTTAATATTTATTCATGTTATATTAATGTATGACTATTCAGCTTTGATAAAAGACCAACTATGAGGAAATTAAGCCAAATGCTGATTCTCAGTGACCAAAAAACTAACGAAAGTCAAAGTCGTCAATCCGCCATCTTTTGACGCCATTTTGGGGCAGTGCATTCACTTTTTTTTGTGGGAACATTGGCTTTTTTTATATAAATAGTAACAAAAAACACAACAATATGCAATTTATAGGGATGTGGGGGGGAGGGGTGCACAGTAAGGGGGTCTGACCCACAGACTATATCGGTAATCAAAGTGTTGGGGCATCCGTATCCATTTAGTATTACTGAACGGAAGTTCTTTACGATAATTTCAGAAGTAGCCCTTCACAATGGGAATTAGATCAACCCACCGGGTCAATACATCCTGAAGAATTAGAAGGTAGCTAAATAGTTTTGTACTGCGGGGGTTCCCATAATATCCGCTGACACACATTGCCAAGGACATTCTACAAACTTTGGTTGCATCAAACCTTGGGGAGGAGTATTAGATGGTTTCACTCTATGACACACTTCACACTTTCTAACGAATTTAACTAAATCTCTATATAAACTTGGCCAATAGTACCCTCCCACTATTCGCCTGTAAGTTTTGTCAACTCCCAAATGCCCCACTTCTGAACGATGATGGCATTCTTCTAAAATTTGTTTTCTTGGACCTATCGAAATTACAGGTTTCCATATTTTCCCAGGTTCCTCTAGCTCCGCGCATAAATTGTTTATCTTATGGTATTATAACTGTCCATCCCTGATACTCCAATCATCATGAGCACTTTTCTCAGTTTGATCTTATACCATAGATATTTATAACATAATTCAGGGTTTACTACAGCTGCTATTGCCTCAGTTTATAGCATTAGAACTATTATAATAACAGGATTAACTCTTACGTATCCTGAAACGTAAAACCTCAAATTTTTAGGAGGGGTAAAATATTTTAATTTTGTTGTCCATTTCAATGGTTGTTTATTGAAAATAATAAACAAAAATCTAAAGTGTTAATTCCTTAATATACAAAAGTTGCTTATCGAACTGTTATTCGATAAACACCTTGGATTGGTTAGAGGTGTTAACAATAAAATATTAAATATTCGGACCAGTGAAGGAAGAAGGGGCGGAAGGAGAACATTTTAATTTGGACCATAATCCGAACTGCTCTCCAGTAAATTATTATTTCTTTATTGAAGTAGGGAGGATTCAATTCAATTTTTAGGATTAAATTCTTTTAAAGCGTCTCTCGCTTATTTCCGCCAAAGGAAAACTTCCAGAAAAACTTATAAAGTCTGGATAACTAGACGCTTTCCTTCATTTATATATATATAAAGCTTTAAATCCCTGGGCGAATTAATCAGCAGAAATTTATCGGAGAAAGAAAGCATGGAGTACAGGATAAAAAAATTGGAGAAATTATGCTATTTAACGAGTAGCATTTATAATAAAAAATGCCTCTCCAAAAAGTCCAAAATCAGGCACTTCAATACAGTGGTAAATCCAGTGATACTATATGGAACGGAGACAATGTTATTTCCCAGTTTTGAGAAATTGATGAAAATACAAAGAAGGATTCTTAAAAGAATCCTTGGGCCCAAAATAACACCAGAAGGATACAGACTGAAATCCAATAAGGAGATTTACTGTGAAACTTCTAATTTGTAAACGGAAATGATGATAAGAAGACTTAGGTTTTATGGATACATGCAAAGGATGACCGAGGAGAGGTTAAACAAGAAGATTTTCAGTAGGGTTATGAGATACAAGTTTAACCATGGATATACGGTACAAATAAAACAGGAAATACAGAGGCTTGGGATAACACGAGAATTATGTGAGGATAGGACAGAATACAAGAAATTCCATAAAAGTGCGGTACATGTGGTGGACATTAGGGATCTTCCGTCCAGGAGGAAGTGGACGGAGGAGAGGAAGAAGAAATTTAGCGATATCTTCAAGCAGAGATGGGC